ATATTCTAGATCAATTAGATTTTATTGCTTTTTGATTCTTTTTAATTGGCTTTAATAGCGCGACAGAGCGAAAGAATACGCCATTATTTGTGTCGCGTTTGATATAATTTTTGTGGTCTATATATACTCTCATCGACCATAGCTCTTGACCAGCGCACGAGAAATTTGACAGTTATTGAAAAAAAATAAATCAACTTATTTTATAGAACCACAAAGAAACGCGAGCATTCTTCAGCACCTACTGCATCTCGTCCCAGAAAGGAACCAAAGAAAGAGGGAAACAGTTTCGACTTTGACGACGAACTCTCAGAATACAGAGAACTGCAGATTCCATCTCGTTCAAGGTCACGTTCACCATCACGATCGCGGTCACGCTCTTTTTCTGGACTGATCTCGTTCACGTTCCCGCTCACCTGCAAGTCCTGCCTGCCAGAGGGCTGGGACGAATCAAGATCGCCTGTCCCGTCACATGGTCAGAGTGGTGGCACCGCGTCTACAGAGGAGAAGAAACGAAAACACAAGAAAAGGAAGAAAGAACAGAAGAGTAAAGGGAGCAAGAAACAGAAAACATCACATAAAGAAGAACAATCTTCCACTGAACAGAAAACAGAGAATGCTGCTGTTCAAGAAGAAGCTGAGAAAATCCCGAGAAGAAGAAGCATAAGAAGCAAAAGGAGAAACCCAACGACAAGGAAGAGGAGAAAGCCAAAGTTATTGGGAAAGAAAAGGAAGTGAAAGCCAGTAAAGAGAAAGGGAAATCAAGGAGAAAAGACAAGGATAAGAAAAAGTTGAGCGAGAAAGGAAAAGAGAAGGAGAGTAAGAAACACAGTGAAAAGAAAGAAGAGAAAAAGAGTAAAGAAGGGAAAGAGAAAAAGAAGAAAAAGGACAAAGATAAAAAGGACGCAGAGGCATCTGCTGGTAAGAAACGCAAAAGTAAAAAGAAACATAAGAAACACAAACGACATAAGAAGGAGAAGAACAAAGAGGAGACAGCTGGAGGTGATAATGATGATGATGAGGAGGAGGCGGGTGATAGTAGGACAAAGAAGAATGAGTCATCAGAGGCTGGTAACCCTCTGCCCTGGAGACAAACCTACAACAGGAGATGATAAAGATGAGCAAGGAACAGACGAAGCTGAACACCAAGGTGACAGTGACGGGGAAGAAAGCGACAGTGAAGGAGAGGAACAAGAAAGGATGGAAGAAGAAGGAAAGGATGACGAAAAAATGCACAAGGACGGAAGAGACGAAGGTGGAAAAGAAACGGATGAAAGTTATGATGAAAAGTTGGTAGAAAGTACAAGCGATAAAGAGAATGAGGTTGATGAGGAGAAACTGTTAGGAAATGGGAGTGACGAGGAGGAGGAACGAAAAATGAAAATTGAAAAGAAAATGGGACAAAACGGAAGTGACGTTGAACATGATCAAGGGGAAGAGAAATTGCTTGAAAGTGACGAAGAGAAGCTGGATGGAACCGGAAGTGACGTCGAGGAAGAACAAGGGTTTAAAAGAAGCAAACAGAAGCGGCTTGAAAGTGGAGGTGACAATGACCAGGAGGGTGGAAGAAATGAAGAGAAACAGGGAGGAGACGGAGGAGGGCATGAGGCGGAGAGGCAAGGAAGTGGTAGTAACGGAGAAAGAGAGATGAAGAGTGAAGCGACTGGGAATAAAAACCGTGATAGTCACTTAGGAGAATCCACAAACGGTAACGATCAAGAGAAAAACAACATAAGCGTTAAAACCAAAGATGAGGGCGGGAGTAATAATGGTGAAAAACAGGAAAACGGGAGCCATGGAGTAGAACAGTGAGAGAGCCGAAATAATGAGCTGAGAAAACAAGAAGCAAGTGTTTTCAGATAAAGCAACAGGAAGAGAGAAAAGGTTAAGGATGGCTGGCGTGTCAAGTTCGTCCGCGTTCGCAATCTAGTCTTAACCATCCTTGTTCCTGTTTGGTTTATTATTACATCTTTGGTGTTTTTCTACCTCAGTAAACTATTAGTTTGAGGTTTCCTTCAATTCGAAAGAAATTTTGCGCATCCGAAAAAAAAATTTAAAAATCGTGACATAACTCTTTTAAAATAGCTCAGTAGTGAAAAGATTTAGTGAAATAGGAAAGATACAAAAATAGTAAAGTTACTAACCTTTGTGTGTTTTGAGGAAAAAGCGAGATAAATTTGGTCTGAAACTTGACCCAGCCGATAACCCTTTTAGCCCTGAGATCAACATACAAATTCTCCTTACTGGTCTCCATACATTCTTGTAGGACTAGTTGGGAGAATTTCATGTTGAGTCAGTTCCCTTTGGTGTTCAGTTCGTTAAGTCTCATGAACGTTAGGTTTGTTTTTGTATTGATTTTTTAAGGAGAAAATAGATCCTGAACACCATCTGGGTTAAAGGGGTAAATAATCCAGTTTGTATCAAGGTTAATAGCTGATGTTTGCAGCAAACTTGATGAATAAAAAAGAGAACGAAGAGCGATGTGTAAAGTAACGTAGAATTGTAATTTACTGTAACAAGAAAAAATGTTCCAAGGTCATAGCTAAAGTCATAGTTAAAAACTGCGTTTGATGCATGGTCTAATTTCGTTGCAAAAAACATAAAAAGCAAACATGCAAAAAACATAACTTCCTTACCGAGTTCATGATATATAAGTTGACATTTAGATTTTCTTGTACGCATTTGTTAATAACGTTTGAATAAGAGTTAATAAAATGGTATTTATTTTGGTTAAAAAAGAAGCGTGTGCTTTTGGTTGTGATTTTAATATGGAACCAAGCTCCATTGTACGCATCTCAGCTTATATCAACATTTTTCGAAACAAATTGATTGCAAGGCTGGTACTACGGCAAAAGGGCAGATTTATTGGCCGATATTTTGACTAGCAGCCGTTATAGAGGAAGGCTAGTAGTTCTGCTTGTCGAAATATCGGCCAATAAATTTGCTCTTTTGCCGTAGAGCCAGCCTTGCAATCAATTTGTTTCATGACGTCTGACACGTGCATTTCGAAAACAAGAGATCCGGCAAGACACGCTAGCCAAACGTTTAATTTCCACGTTGTGTGGTTCTCCGCATTCAAAAGTTTTTAATTTCTCTCTCATGTGTTTTGGGCGTGGCTATGTTGGATGTGCTGATATTTTACAACTGCTTTTGTTCCAGAACAATAGCTCTTGTTTGATCTCGCGGCTCTTCCGTGCATCAATAAGATCTCCCCTTTTTGACTGCTTTGGAGACGAACTATTTGTTAATCTGGTACCCAGGGCTCATACCTGCGTTGGATGGCATTGCTCCCACAAAAACCGCAAAAGAGAAATCTGGTTAGAGAGTTCATTCTAAATACCACTAGGCAACCAACCGAATCATAAGTCGTTGGGTTTATCCCATAGGAGCTTTCTTTCTCCTCTTTTGGCGCTGTGGTTTCTTGGGGGGAAAGTGGTTGCGTGTTTACCGGGAGTTCATTGCTAGGTGTGTCCAACTCGTACTATGCCTTTGACTGGGCGTTTTGATAAGGTTGTTTTTGGAACGACGACCCCCAAAACAACCAAAATTCGAGGGATAAGTTTCAAAAAATAAAACGCAGCTTCGTATGACCCACCAGATATTTGTAGTTGACTTGAACTGCGTTCACACTACGCCGAAACATTTTTAAAAGGAAACACGTTTACCCTGAACATGTTTTTAATTGCATTGTTCACATTGTCTATAATTTATGTGGTTTTAGGTACTCTCATCTGATCTTTATAATTACACTTAATTAAACCGTGAAACACATGTTTCGGTCAGTGTGAACACAAACTTATAAGTTCGCTTGGTTTGGTCACCGGACGCTAGCCCCATGCTTCGCGCGCGTCTGAACGAAAATTCAGTTCAGTTCCACCAAGGTACTAGACTGAATTAGACTCGCACCCAGTCGCTATTATTTTCGTCTCTTCCCAGAACGCCCCTCATAATTGATCTCGCTCCAGATCCCCTAGGCTAAAATTGTTTCTTACAGATAAATAGCGACTGGGTACGAGTCTTGAGACTGAACCAAGAGAGGAAGATCTAAGAGAAGCATTTTCCCATACATGTGTCTCTTCCAATGAGAGTTTTGGAAATCTATTTTCAATTGCCAGTCCATTTTAAGAGCGCTACCTGATTGGTCAGTTCGAGTAACGTGATGTTGGAACGGAATTTGAGTCCATGTAAACTATAATTGGGAAATCAAGATTCATTGAACTATATAAAGAGATTTACCAACAACACGCAGTTTATAAGTAACCTCACTTCATCCGGTTTACTTTTCGATCGATTCCGAAGATGAAACTTGACACCATTAAAAGTCAACTCTTGTTATAGCGGACACCCTCGGCACGTACTTTGGAGTCCGTAATAGCGGGAGTCCGCAATAGCGGGAGTCAAACCTCTTTATATATAGCTTTCGCCTGGTGGAGGGCTGGATTTTGTCCGTAATAGCGGATGGAGGCGAGAGCTGACTGTATCAACACGGTTATAAGGTTAAAAGAAACATTTAAGTCTGTCAACAAGCTTGGTGTCTTATGAGACCGGCGCTTAACTCCGGAATCCATAGCATGAAGCGACTTAATTCATAGCTGGTCACCCCAGCATTTTTGTCAGGTTACCCTAATAATTCGCAATTCCCATTTACTCCGGGGGGAGGACTCCCATGTGAAAGGGCGGGGTTGCTCGTTGGAAGATTTGAATTAAACCCCTAAAGGAGACCAATCTGGGCGTAGCTCAAGCCTTATCTGACCCTACAAGATATAATTCCTTTTAAAGACTTCACGCCTGATCGGTATACTATAGACCACCAACACAGTATGACGGTGTTTTTTTTATCTATTTGGGTGCAACCGTAAAACGATACCTCGATGGCTAAAAATATTGGCGTTAAGTCCTGAACACCCTAAGCGATACCAAAATCGGTAATCATACACCCCTAAAAGAGACGAGGAGAATCCCCGCCCCTTTGACATGTGAGTTCCCCCCCCCCCCCCCCGGCATTTACTCCTGGCCAGGGCTCGAACCCGGACCGCTCGATCCGGAGTCCAGCGCGCTAACCAATCACAGCACCTCCCATCAACAAGCTATAACAAGGAATAAAAACATAGCATTGCTTTAATTTTGATCAGTTTTGTAACAATTAATAATACCATAGTTAATAATAAGTTTATTTATGTGTCAATAAAATGCTAGCAGTTATAACACCACTCATCGAGGACACTATATAATAACAGTCTAAAACAGTTCAATTGAAATACGTTCTACCACATATCCCACACCAACAACCGGTCCTAAATATACACTATTTACAGGATTACAGTTGTTCTAGTTGTAGTTTTAGTTATCTGGTTGAAGTCGTAGTTGCTGCCTCTAACAAGCTAGCCCCAACTAACTTAATTGTGGGACTCTCCGTACGTGGAACGGCCAAACGCTACACAAACAATGAATCACATTCAATATTTATCGTCAGCTACATAGATTTCCACATAAGTACAAGTATCCAATCAACAGTAAATTAAACTAGAAAAATGTATTCTTTCTCATATCAAATAAAGTACACATAAAAACTGCAACTTCTTGAATCCGCTGCATAAGCGTAAATATATTATGCTGAACAGCTGTCACATTAACATGCTCAGGTCCGAACTTTTTCAGAAAAATGGCCAATGCACGATCATAATACTGTTTTGCCTGCAGCAGCTCACCCAGCTTACTGTGTACAGCACCCAGTTTACTGTAAGCAGTTGCGACATGAACATGCTCAGGTCCGAGCTTTTTCAGAATAATGGCCAGTGCACGATCATGATACTCCTTTGCCTGCAGCAGCTCACCCAGGTCATTGTGAACAGTACCCAGGTTACTGTAAGTATTTGCGACATGAACATGCTCAGGTCCGAGCTTTTTCAGAAAAATGGCCAGTGCACGATCATGATACTTCTTTGCCTGCTGCAGCTCACCCAGCTTCCTATGTACAATACCCAGGTTATTGTAAGTAGCTGCGACATGAACATACTCAGGTCCGAGCTTTTTCAGAATAATGGCCAGTGCACGATCATGATACTCCTTTGCCTGCAGCAGCTCACCCAGGTCATTGTGAACAGTACCCAGGTTACTGTAAGTATTTGCGACATGAACATGCTCAGGTCCGAGCTTTTTCAGAAAAATGGCCAGTGCACGATCATGATACTTCTTTGCCTGCTGCAGCTCACCCAGCTTCCTATGTACAATACCCAGGTTATTGTAAGTAGTTGCGACATGAACATACTCAGGTCCGAGCTTTTTCAGAAGAATGGCCAGTACACGATCGTGATACTCCTTTGCCTGCTGCAGCTCACCCAGGTTACTATGAACAGTACCCAGGCTACTGTAAGTAGCTGCGACATCAACATGCTCAGGTCCAAGCTTTTTCAGACGAATGGCCAGTGCACGATCATGATACTCCTTTGCCTGCTGCAGCTCACCCAGGTTCGTATGAACATTACCCAGGTTATTGTAAATAGTTGCGATATGAACATGCTCAGGTCCGAGCTTTTTCAGACCAATGGCCAGTGCACGATCATGATACTCCTTTGCCTGCTGCAGCTCACCCAGGTGATTGTGAACAGTACCCAGGTTACTGTAAGTAGCTGCGACATCAACATGCTCAGGTCCAAGCTTTTTCAGACGAATGGCCAGTGCACGATCATGATACTCCTTTGCCTGCTGCAGCTCACCCAGGTCATTGTGAGCAGTACCCAGGTTACTGTAAGTAGCTGCGACATCAACATGCTCAGGTCCAAGCTTTTTCAGACGAATGGCCAGTGCACGATCATGATACTCCTTTGCCTGCTGCAGCTCACCCAGGTGAATATGTACATTACCTATATAAAAGTAGGCGTCTGCCACCTGTACGTCAGTATATGCGTCACTAAGCTGAAGGAATTGTAATGCTATGTAAAAATATTTCTTTGCTGCGTTAAACTCGCAATGTTTTATACATATTTGGCCAAACGTTTGACAGTCATGTGGGTAGCATTGAATATTAAAGATACCGCTTTGGATGACTTGAGATATGTTCTGTTTAGAACACAAATATTCCATTTTTATAACGAGAGTTATTAAATGAGGAACAATGTGCTTGCTATTTATAAGAGAATCTAAGTCGTCCCAATCTTCTGATTGGTTCTTAACTATGAACAGGGTGAATGAACTAACGGCACTATTCACGACTTGAAGGCGTTGAATCTCCGGAAGATCTGTAATCACAGTATTAATGACGTCATGCACGACCTGATGTACTCGAATGTAGACAGCAGTCTCCTCTTCTTCAAATAACAACAGTGAGCACCTTTGGATCCTCATACTAATCATCTCTTTATCTTTAATTTCTTCATCTACGTTGAGAATGTAATTGATCACGATGTCTAGGCTTAATGGTTGTGGTGCATACAGATAGAGGAATCTGAACGTGTGATCAATGACTTTGTCTGATGTCATCTGCTCTTCAACGGCTAGTGTTATTACCGCTGTCATGGTGTTTGGGTAGCTTGGGTTGGTCTCAGCAAGAATGGCCTCAGTGGTACTTCGCTGGTCCGTATCCAGTTTTCTCAGGAAGTCGTTCCAGCCAAAATTAGAAGTTGCTTTGTTATGCCGAACCTGTCTGACATAGGTGGCGGCACTTGCTAGGGCAAGAGGTTGATAGTCCAACGCTTGTGGCACTTTTTCTATTTCGCTGTTAGCGATACCAGAAAGCTTTGCTAACAAAGAACTGGCATCACGAGGCTCCATACCTTTGCTAACTGAGATGTGTTGAATGAACGAGCTTGTCAAAGGGATAGACGCAGTGTCCTGTGTTGTGATTAGCAATTGGCCCCTTAACCACTGATCATTTCCAGACTCCGGCAAATGACCATGCACACGAGATATGCTTGTGACATTGTCGACTACCAGTAGCCAAGACGTGTAAAGCTTGATTTTTATGCTAACTAACGTCTTAAGATTGGTGATCTTTTCGTCTGTCTTCAAATCCTTGGAGTTAACCGTGTTTGTTACTGCATATTCCGGACATTTTAGATGTCGAGCGAAAGAAACAAACGATTCCAGAAGTGTGTCTGGGCTTTTAGCATTTAATGTCATAACAAATGAAGCAGCTACAGCACTGGGAATTTCTTTGATTTCATCGAAGAATTGCTTCGCTACGAGGCCAGCCAGCTGAGATTTGCCACTACCTGGATTCCCTGAGATGTACAAGTAACTCAAATTGTTTTCATTGGCGCTTTTAAGCTCTTTGAGCTGTTGCGTGATTTCAGCCACCTCACGGTGGCGACTTGCGACATCGTGTGAAGGTTTAGGAGGTAGAATGCAAAAGGGAGGAATATCGCTCTGTAGCTGATCTTCAAGGACTTGTCGTTGTTCTTCTTTTGTTGAAGGTCCTTTTCCCTTTCTTGAAGGTCATTTTCTTTCTCTTGAAGTTCCTGTTTAAGGTCGTCAACCTTTTTCAAGACACCTCTTAACCCCTCCGTGGGAAACGTGTCTGATTCCTGATTTCTTGAATTTGCAAAGTGGAGAGACCGAGTGCGTAAAACGCATCATGAACTTGGCGAATGGCATTTTGAAACTTTACGTCTGAGAGATGGCCTTGTGGCATGTGTGCAAATTCTTCATTGCGGAACTTTCTGAGATCATCTACATTTGATCTGACTGTTGGGTGGAGACTGTGGATACAATCTGAGAAAAGTATGGCGTAAAACAGCATGGTACAATCCCATTCTGCTCTGTTCCCGTTAACCATGGTAGCTAACATGTGGGCGTTTCTTTTCTGGTTTCGAGGAGATTCGCGGTTCTTAAAGTCCAGTCCATTTCTAAATTCATCTTTCCATTCTCCTCGTAACGTTGCTTTGTAGAGCTTGTCCCATTCCTGTTTGAAGATCGATCGCAGACCCTCAGCTAGTATATCAGTGGTAACATAACAAATTCTGTAGTAGTTCAGTTGCTCGTCAGTGTATTCCATTGCAGCGGCCATATTCAGCTTGAGTCACCTCTTATGTTTGACTTCGGCTCAGCCCCTTGTAAAAATGAAACTGTCTTATTAGCCAATTAGAACATTGTTTCTTTCCAGTCTATGCTTTATGTTCTAAGCGAGGTAATACCAGTCTGCATTCGGACACCAAGCTATCACGAGTCATGAAGGGGTCAGGGTAGGAAATTAAGCTTGATCTTTTTTTACGTGTCAATCAGGTAAGATAGTCCTTATGGGGTCATATCGATTGTACCGGTTTCATGCCCGAGGGGTACTCCTCGAACTGTGTGGTGGGGCACATCCCCCCTCTTCTCGGGGCGGAACGAAGACCGGACTCGAGAGAGCGGCGGAAATCGAGCCTACTTCTTCAAACCCTTTCCTATTTTCAGACCAAAATATGCGATTTTCCCTACCAAATTTTAGACCAGACCTTTACTCCTCCCCTGCCACCGGGGTTTCATGACCTTTTTACAAAGCACTCGGGTGGTGGTGTTAACAGAACTGATCATGCCTTACCGTAAAGTGATGGGAAGGTGCGAAGGTTTTTTTGGGTTTGAAATTCACGATTCCGGGTTTTCTTTGGGTAGGAAATTTTTGGTATTCAAACAAATGGGAAGATTCGCGGTAAAACAAATTGTTACCGTACTTAGTGCTTAATCATTGCAGATAGTATAATGAATAACAAACATGAACATTAAATTTGCACTGTTGTTCTTCGTTATTATCATTAATCCCTTCTGGGTATTTTTGGGGTTTCGCTTCAAACCCTATGGATTTTTTTATGTTTTAATTTATGACCCATTTGCACCTCCCCGTCACTTTATAACTGGAGAAATCCCCCCCCCCCCCCCCCCCCCCCCCGGGACGTAACGATAGCAAAATTCTATAATCCGATTTAGGTTATCGCCAGTCCCTATTTGAGCAGATATAGGTACGTCAGAGGATTAATGTATTGTCATTGCCGGTTACGAGCTCATAAAGAGCCTAAGAATAAGAATGAAATACAGGATCCGAACCCTATACAGGCGGGGACTTCGTTATAAAGGGGTTCGTTATATCGGGGTTCCACTGTAACATCCGTA